GAAGATTAAGAAGGCTTGTTGATGCACGAGAGGAGGAGGAAGCTCCCTTGATCAGCAGGAGCCATACATAGCATGAAGCAAGTTGAGGTAAGGTATGTCGGAGTAATAATTATGGATATGGATGCTGGATGTACGTCGTTGCGATCCATCTGCCCAGCCATCCGTCCTATCACGTCCAATCCGAATCATCAATGAGTGAGTCTCCTCTGCTGTCTCCCGGCTGTTGCTCCTCAGTATCGTCCCGCTCCCCTCGCATGGCCCATCATCCATGATACCAAGCACTGCATACTGCGAGTAGATGCGAGGAGGGAGGTGCCACAGTCGGCAAGAGCGCAAAGAGCGACTCGTCCGCCAGAGGGTGTTCATCCCTGGCATCTGGGCGGGTGGAAGGGCGGGCCTGGCGATTCATTGGCTGCACAAGTGTGATGCAGTCCCTGCAAGTCCCGTCTTTTGACTCGATTCACACCACTTCGGGGGGTCCCCCTCCCCTCCCATCCAGCCTGCCGCCCAGGTGATGCCTCTTCTCCAGGATCCCATCTGCTTCAAGTGGGCGGCGGGCATTCGGGCAGCACATACCACACCACACCACACACACGCACCACTAATACACTGCGGGAGTGGAACACAAAACCAAGGTCAGGAGGTTATTATCGATGCCTCTCTCAAGTTCCTGTAATGACAGACAGTAGGGTACCTTACCTTTACTTAGACAAGCAGACGGGTTGTGACGATGGCCCACGAGCTAGTTCGAGAGAAGAGCCGAGGGGACGACGGCCGGAGGGGACGACACAACGACCAACGCCCTTGCCGCGCCCTCGCCTGCCTGCCACTTCACTTTCTTTCCTACCTACCTTACCCAGACAGGGTACCCCAATGCCACCTGCTCTTGGACCGGTATCCGCACCTTAATTGCTTATGACAGTCGTCTCTGGACTTCGGTTCCTAGACTAAGCAACAAGCTGGACCCTACCCAATGCACGCAACGGCTGGTTATTCCATCCTTCTTCCCTGTGACGGGCAATGAGCTGTCAGCACCGTCTCTTGGGTTGTCGCTGCAACACTTGTTTGTTGCCCTCCTCAGCACTGCGATGTTCCATGTTGTTCATCATGACGCCTCACGTTACACTCTCATCAACCCCTCCAAAAGGAGCCCGCCAGCCCAAGAGAAAAAGCCGCACACACAGAAAGCAATTGTGTATCACGGCCCCTGCCAGAACCCTTATCCGCTTGCGCCCGGGCGCTCGTCTTCTCCTCGGGGTTCATCTCAGACCGTCAGTCGACAGTCGACGGTCACTTCCCTTCCAGCTGACTGGAAATCCGTTTCACTCGCCGACAGCGCTCAATTGGCGGAAATACATGCCTCTCCAGCCACCTCGCCGCGCTCCCCCATGTACCTACACGCCCACATCCACCCGCCAAGCATGGGCACCATGGAGAAGTGAGATGCCTCACACACTCCATACGCGCAGAGCTCGTCGTAGTCAGATACCTACGGGCACATCACTGCCATGTTGATGACAAGCAGCTTCTGCCATGCAGGCGAGTCTTCTCACACACCTATGTATGGCATACGAACCAACGCTATTGCCATTGTCTCTGGGCCGCGGCGGCGGAAGCGGGACGAGGCTTGCAAGGGCAAGGAAACTGAGGGAGGTGCCGTCGCTCATGGAGACGTTGCCATGCGGACGACGGCTCGGCCAGCATGCTAGCTAGCATCGACGTTGATGCACCAAGCCGCACACGATGAGGTATCGATACATGGACAACTGGGCAGCCATGCACCTGCGACCGTGGGATGACATCCGCTGGGGGTTGTATCCGTACCTGTTCGCACGGCGACATCCTGTCGGGGCTCCTGGCCAGTCTTCCCACGCCGCCGGAGCCCCATCTGGCATCTGTACGATGGGCGAATGTGCTCTCGAGCCAGCGCCAGACCTGCGTCTGAATGGGTGTACTTGCAGCACCGCTGGCTGCGCATCGGGAACTAACAGGGCCTTCATGCACACCCAAGTCTGGGCCTGTCTTGCGATGCAGGCGACACTCCTGTACTGGATCGTCTTGTCTGGTTGTCCCACCTCCAGCATTTTCTGGGCGCATCAGTCATCCACTCATCCCACGATAATCGCCCAAAGAGGCATGGCGTGTCCTTCACCGCTTCAACATCTCAAACCACGCTGGCCGAATTCGCACCAACCAGCCACGCCGAATCGCCAAGTCTACACTCTGGACGCGACGGTGGAGAAGAAATTTCAATTTCCTCCCCCTTCTCGCCGTCAATGGACACAACGAGTGCGGATATGAAAGTCATTGTCCTCACATGAGACATGTCATTTTGAGCGCAAGAAATGTGGTGACAACCCTCTCACGTTGGTTTCCACAGCTTCAGCAACAGCCTGATAGCTTGACTGCAGGCAGCTCAACCGATCATTGCCACACAGACATGAGCCCATGGATGCTCTTCGGATGAACTTTGAGTGTGATGTTGCGGCTCTTTCTGGCGGTCAGACCTGAGCCGAGAATACGGCGAAGGCAACTTTCTGCTTCGTACCTAACCTCTGTTCAGGTTGAAACTATGGGTCGATGGGGAAGACAACTCAGCAAGTGCAGCATCACCGACTTAGCTAGCTGCAGACTGCAATTGACCTCCACAAGAATCATGTCGACAACTTTTCGAATGGAGCCCGGAGTTTAATGACTCCAGCTGCAAGAAAGCTCTCCATTTCATGACGAGCATCAAGTCATCGATCCCCCAGATTACTTGGCTGTTTACCTAGCGGTCTCGTGGAAAGGGCATGTAAATCATGTTCGCGTTTAGGGATCAGAGGGTCCGCCGTAACCACAGTCCATGGCGCCCCGTTATTGAGATGCCTAACGCGGCCTGTCCCATGCGCGTCCATGTCTCAAGTCGTTGGTTTAGACGGTGACAAAGAGCACCGGTGGCTTGGAAGAAAGAAGTCTTGGACGAGACAAATCCGGGGTTGGAATTCGGGACGAGCCCGACGGCCCTTGCTTGTGACCGTGACCTTGACCGTAACCGTACCCTTTTCGAAGGGGCCGTGAAGAAGAAGGATTGTTCCGCTTCCGCTGCCGGCCGGAACACGACCTACGGATACCAAGCCGCAAGAGCAACGACCCTGCATCCCCGAGTAAAAAGTGACGGTGGATAAGAGATAGCTACCCGCGGAGCCGAGGTGAGGATGAGGTCCGGTTCGGTCAGCCTCAGCAAGCGCAGCCACAGCCACCGCCATCTCACGCCCCCCGGAGCTCCCGCCAAGGGCGCAGTCACCAACCGCGGTCCCCCCCAATGGAAGTGCCGACTCAGGGTCCAAGATCGGCCTGTCGTTTATCCCAGCTTGCGCCTCCCCCAAACATGGACGTTACCATAGGGCTCATTCCGAGGCACTGGCTCCTCCTCCAGGGGTTAAAATTAGTATCACAGGCTGTTTCAGCGACTCTTCTCAGTCAACGTCGAGTATCAAGATTGCTGCGAAATGTCATCCATTCGCCCTCAATGTCACTGAGGAAAATCGCTTCAAAATCTCACCCGATGCGCCGCGAGCCAATGCCTTCCTCCCCTTCCTTGGTGGGTGTAAGTCAGCCAGGCACTAACTGCAATTGAGTGCAAACGACTGCTAGCATCGGCAGAGCTGCCATCCGTGTTTGCGTCGGTTTGCTTATGCTTGTTGACTTGCACGCGCCGCCTCCATCCTTCGAGTGACGTCGATGGTTTAGTGCCGCAGCAGGGCAAGGTCCATGCGACACTATCTCGGCATCAGGTGCACCCTTCCTCTGCTCTTTGTTTTGGCGTTGACAACCCCCCCTCCCCCCCTCCCAAGGAGGACGTGCCATCAGACGAAACAAAAGATGCTGGCCCCCTTCGCTCATACCGTTCCTGTTTGCTGGAAAGGCAATTCAACCGTCGGTCAGGACAAGGTTCCTTCCCGGCCGCTTACACTCTGCTGGAGACAAACCACGCGGGAACCCCGCTGATCCTCGGACTACAGGGAAGGAAGCTGACTTGATCTCGACTTCACCTCGCCCTTCAGCTCGATAGTCTCTTGCCATCAGACGTTGTTCTTCTCTATCTCTGTCCAACTCTCGAAAGGAGCCCGAGTCCACTTGGGGCCATCGGCTCAACACCCCCAGCAGCTTCTCCGAGATCACCACCGGGGAACCCATCCGCCACCATGCCCGCTCACCACAACCTCACAATACGCATCCCGCTCCCTAGCATGCTCCCGGCGGAGGCCGTCATCGAGACTCTCCAGTCGCAGTCTCCAGCCCTCCGCCACCAGCCGCTGATAACCCGCTTCGAGAAGGTACCCGTCAGCCTCGACAGCATCGTCGACGACGACTTCTTCCTCGACACGGGCCTCAAGATCTCCTCCTACGTGGTCTACGAAAAGGTCACCGTCGTGCCAGGCATCAAGAAGGAAATCTCCTTCCCGGCCGTCCTTCAAAACATTCCCAACGGTCTCCGCGCCCGCGCCTCGGCCCCGGGCGGCGTCATCGTTCGGAGCGAGTGGCTCGTCGTGCCCCGGCCCGAAGAGCGCTGGCCGGGCGAGCACAGCTCCGGCAAGCTCGGGGGCTACGTCGACGGCGACTACGAGCTCGTGGAGAACGTCAGGGTCGAGACGAGCCGGATGCTGATGCCTCTCGTCAAGGGGCAGATGGAGGGCGCTCATCGGGAATTGTTGCGGAAGATGCTCGACGAGGTGGCGCAAAAAGTCGGCCGGTCCAAGATGTGATACGACGCGAACGGTGGGAAAAGGACATAATTTGGAAGTAGTCCGATTTTTTGGGCTGGCGTTGGTTTGCGAGCTTTTCTCTGTTTGTCTAGATACCACGGTCATTCATCATTCAGCGTTCGCTATCGTCTTTGGAAAAAGAAAATGAAGGGCCTATCCCTTCGGCATTAATCTCCGCCCTTTGACTCACAACACACACCCTCCCCTCGTCGTTCCTCGTGTGCTCATTCACAGCCTCCCCTTCTGTAATTGTCAAATGGTATAAACAAGCTTGCCCGCACTGACCTTGCCCTCCTTCAACTCCTTCAGCCCGACAATGACGCCGTCGAGTCCACTGCCGCCGCGGTTCTTGATGACGCGGATGGGCTTCAGCTTGCCCGCGGCAAGCAGCTCCCTGCTCAGCTCCCAGAAGCGCTTGCCAAACTCGTAGTTCTCCGGCACGGCGTCCCTCTTTCCAAAGTAGCCAAACTCCTCGCCGAAAACGGTGTAGTACAGGCTCATCTGCACGTCAGCGTTGGGGTTGACCTCCTGCACCTTCTTCTTGTCGACGGGCAGCAGCGTGCCGACGAGGGACGGCTTCGAGGACGACAGGGCCCTGGCAACGATCGCCGCGGACTCGTCGGTCGACTGGCAGTCCCAGGCGAGCGTGAGCGCGTCGCCGGTGTGCTTGCGGATGTCCTCGGACACGGTGGGCGACTTGTAGTCGAAGACGGCGGAGGCGCCGAGCTCCTTGAGGTAGTCGAAGTTGTGCGGGGAGGCGGTAGTGATGACGTCGTAGCCCGACAGCTTGGCGTACTGGATGCCGGAGATGCCCATGGCCGTGCTGCCGCCGTAGATGAGGATGGTCTTGGGTTCCTTTGCGGGGGAGCTGGGCAGCGGGAGCTTGAGGGTCTGGTAGAGACCTTGGCCCTGGTTTTGCGTGTGTAAGTGGATGATGGATCACGGGTGGGGGGTGGTGGTGAAAGGGAGAGACATACGACAGTGGTGACGGCAATACCGAGGGTGGCAGCCTCCTCGTCGGTGATGTTGTCGGGAGTCTTGATCTGGAGGTCGCCCTTGACGGCAATGTACTTGGCGAAAGCGCCGTCAATCTCCCGCAGAGCATTGCTAGATGTCGTCGTCAGCCACACCAATGGCCTCTGTCTTGTCGACCGAGAGGAAACTCACGATCCGTTGACGGGTCCGCAGATACGGTCGCCCTTCTTGAAATCCTTGGTCACTCCGGATCCGACCTCCTCCACGATACCGGCGTAGTCGCAGCCGACCCAGATGCCGACGCAGCCCGCCTTGTCCGCGAGGTCGACGTGCTTCCAGTCGGTGGGGTTGATGGCCACCGCGGTCGTCTTGACCAGGATGTAGTCGTCGGCGGGAAGCTTGGGGACTGGTGCGTCGACAACCTTGGCCACGCCGGCCTCGATCGTCTTGACAGCTTGGTTCTGAGCCATTGTGAAGTCTATGCGAGTGTGAGTGAGTCGAAAGGCGGTGATGTCAATTCACTTCCCAATTGGGTCTATATGCCGAGAGCGAAGGGTGTCTTATATGGAAAAAGCTATGCCAACCACACAAACAAAGCATGAGAGCGTTCCTGCCCCCTCCGTCGTCAGAGCTTACAAATGCTAGTCCCGCGTCCAGCCAAGCCCAGAGCGCGGGTCCTTGAGTCTCCAGCATCTGCTGCTCGGCACATTGATGGCGGGGGCGGTCAACCTCACACAAAACCAGATCATAGACGGCCCGCACCCAGAGGACGGAACGTGGCTGTCGCGCGGATCTAACACCGTTCCTGGAGTATTCCCGGTGGTCAAGCTCTCCATTCTGCGTCCCCTCCTAAAGAGCTCCCAAAAAAGCCCTTGCTAGGATAGATGCCGAGGGAGTTCACCTTATTGGCACTAAAGCTTGCAGGGCAGGGCAGAGGGAGCTCCTCTGGCCCGGGGCCCTGTTCAACCGAAGGTCCCGTCTCGGCGCCGGCCATCTGCTTACGGCAACAGCCCATGCTGACCCTCCGTCGGGTGCTGCCCAGCCCGGCGCCGGATGCATTTGTCAGATCAGAGCTTGGCCGGCTGCAAATAGAATCGCTGCCGGACGTTGCTTGAAGACGTTGTCATTACCTACGTACATGGCCTTATCCGCACTGAACGATGAGCGAAAAGCCCCGCTACTGCGACGATTTAGCCCCGCGGGCCCCCTCGCTCGTGATGTAACCATATCGTTATCGCCGACGGAAACCCCTCCGAGGGGCAATGCTTTGCCAAGTACATCTCACGTGCAACGGAGGCCATGGTGATTTTTACTCAAATGGAGGAGTAGAGGTGAACCTAGAATTTCATCATAATGGTATCTATAGCAACGCGTTCTAAACCCTGTAACCAGACCATCCGCTCAATGCCATCCATATCAGCGGCAATATTCGCAGTGTCCCCTTACAACAGTCGCTTGTTCATGAAGCGGTATAACACCAGGAATAAAAAAGATAAAAGACGTGTATCATAGACGATCCGTCGCACGTAGAAGTCAAACAACAAAGCAAAAAAAAAAAAAAAAGACAGCAACCAGCCGTGTTCGAACACTACCGACCGCCGTAGTCGCTGGCGTAACCAACTTCGCCGAACCCTTGGCTCATGCCACCCTCGCCAAACCCTGTGCCGGGTCCGCTGACATAACCGCCATCGTCACCTTCGTAATCGCTAGCTTCGAACGATGAACGGCCTGAAATGTCGTCTTCCAGGCCGCTGCTTGCGTCCGGCGCAGACCAGTTCATTTGCGCGAGTGCTGGGTACTGTGCGAGCAGAGCGGCAGGCAACATGTACTGGCCGCTGGTATCCATAGGGTAGCCCGGCTCCATCATGGCACCTTGGGCAGCCATATTTTGCATGTTCTGCTGTTGCATCCGCTGTTCTTGCCAAGCACGCTGTCTGTCAAGCATTTCTTCGTCCAGCAAGGGTTTGATGCAGATCCGACCTGCTTCAGAACGGAAATGTCTGCCAAGCGCATCCGCACGCGCAAATCTCCGGCCGCAGCCCCACTGGCCACCAGCCTTCAGATCGCCCTTGCAGACAAACTTCTTCTCTCCCGAGTGCAGCCCCTCGTGTCTCTTTCTGTCGTGCTGCCGAGCAAACGCCTTGCCGCAAACTGTACATACGAATGGACGTTCGTCTGTGTGTGTGCGCAGATGGGATCGCAAGTTGTAAGCTCTCGTGAATCGTTTCGGGCACAGCGTGCACTGGAAGGTGGCAGGATGCTTCTGCACACGTTTCGCGTTGCCGTTATCCTGGGAGTTTTGGTATTCAGGGTCTGCCAGTCTCAACGCAATGACGTTATTGGGCACCGCCGATGTCGACTGTCTTCTGCGATTGGGACTCGTGGCCTGTCGGTCGAGCGGTGAGAGTGATCGCGAGGAGTCTCTCGACAGATCGACACCCAGATGAGGGGACAAGCTGCCTGAAGGAGTCTGGCGAACCATGCCAGGACCGCCGCTGTTGAAAGGGTCCGTAACCGCACGTGGACGGGATCGGGGACGGCCTGTTGCTTCTGTTAGTCACGAACGAATAGGTCAGAGTTGCGAGTCCCATACCTCGGTCAGGAGGAGTCAAGGAATCTTGATCCATGGGAGGCTTGGGGGTCTCGAAGTTGTTCGATCTTGAAGTAGGCGCAAACTCGATGTTGATAGCTGGCGCAACCTGGGGCATCTCATGTTGCTGCAGTGTCGGAAAAGCCTCCTGGCCCGCGTAGCCGGCAGCATATCCGGCATTTTGGGCAGCGAGGCCAAAGTTGGTCGGTTGGTTGAGCTCGGGCATCGTCTGGGGGAGGATGCGCGGGGAGATGGCCGGACTGTGGGAGGGGCTCCGGCCGTGCAGGTTGGGGCTGCTAAGCGCCGGGTCCGAAATTGTGAAGCTGTCGAAGCCCTGAATCTGCTGGTAAAGACCAGAGTCTTGCGGGCGCTGCATGGGCGAATGGCGCTGGTCGACCGCCTCGAAGCTGTCGGCGCTCACGAGGTTAGGCGACGGGGCGGCGGAAGAGACGTCCGAGTACTCGGACGGAGACCTCCGGTGGCCCTGAAACTGGGGTTGACTCCATTCGTTCAGCTGGTTCGGCAGCAGGGCGGCCTCGGGGCCGAGTGAGGCGTTTCTCGAGTGACCGGAAGGGGGCGACGAGAATTGGTGTTGGTTGAAGGCCGGAGACTGGTGCGCAGAGGGTGTCTGGTGGGGGTCGGGGTTGAGCAGGTGGGGAGGGGTCGGCGAGTGGTGGCTCTGAGGCATGGCCATGTTCATGTCGCCTGGGTTGAGGCTGCTCTGGTCGAAGACTCCGGCGTTGTACTGCTGCTCGCCCTGAGTAGTGTTGGAGGGGAAGAGAGGAAAGTCGCCGGAGGCGAAGTTGGGGTCGAGGAAGCCGGCCGAGCTCTGGTTCGCGAAGGCGGCGGACTGGTTGAACGACTGGCCGTTCTGCTGGCCGTTCAGGAAGTTGTTATTGTTGTTGAAGGTGTTGAAGTCGGCGGAGGCGGGTCCGGAGAAGGCTTGTGTAGCTGATTGATCCAAGCCGAGGCCGAGTCCAATGTTTCCTGCGTCGGTAGGCTGAAACGGATTCGGCGATGGGGAATGCGAGGGTTGTCTTATATGAGGCTGTTGATGCCCCGCAGACGGTGAGCGACCGCGTTGGGCCTGTTGATCCATGATGTAAATGGATGCCGGGAGTCGGTAGTCGGAAGGATGGGATGCGTGTGTTGCGTGTGTGTGAGAGTGTTTGTTGCCGTCTTTAGAACTGGGCGAGGCAGTTCACAAGTCAGCCTTTCAGGCACCGCACTGCCCTGGGGCTGTGCTGACGCGCGAGAGCTGACAGACCGCACCCAACTGGCGACGGCGGGGGAGAAGCGTATGCGACGGACTGCGATTCGCTGTCGCAAAGACTTATGCGGGAACGGTAGACGTAGGCGCTTCTGGCGGATGTAACTGAACAATGCGATGGAGAGCGATGCCGAAGAGAGGACGAAAGTCGAGGGGGTTGTTTGCGGGTTTTGGAGGGGGCGTTGGAGAGAATGCGTGTCGCAGTAAGGTAGCAAGAAGAAGCGTCGGGAGTGTGTGTGTGCGGTAAGCGGTGGTAATGAGGTAAGTAAGGCAAGTAGGTACGCAGTAGGTAAGGTAGGTAGGTACCAGCGTGCCAAGGGGAGTTGAGATGGGGAAGCGAGGGACTTGGATTCCTGTCCTGTTCTGTGGGCGGGCCAGAGACCGCGGGACCGGACTGGACAGCTGGAGGACTCAGACTCAGACTCTCAGGATCAGACTCAGGACTGGCGGGACCGACTGAGAGAGACAGAGGGACAGAGAACCTCGCAGTCACTTCTAGCGGTAATTTGGGGTCTGAGGTGTGTCGGTCGGGTCCCAGTTTGCAGCGGGCACCTGGGGGGGAACTTGATTGGGAGGGGAAGGGGGGGAGGAGGAGGAGAGGAGAGGGGTGAGGGAGGAGGACAGTGGAGGGGTGCGACCAGGGTCTGGGAGACAGAGACGCGAGTGGAGAGGCAGGTGCTATGCGCGGTAAGGTAAGGTACCTCACAGTGCTGGAGACTGACAGGCGACGTGGTTGGCTGGAGGGGATCCACCTGGGCGGCCCAATCTGGGTGGTGCCCACAAGGCTGTGCACGTTTGAGGATGGATCTGTCGACCGGCGCCTTTGGTAAGTCACTCAGTGCCTGGCAGACGCACTACCTGACAGTTGTGCCTGACTTTGGCACCTCGATTGGGTACCTTTTTTTGTGTGTCCAGTTCCCAGCTGCAGTGAGTATCGTACCTTCGGCGGCAGGTACCTGGCGTTGGGGTTGGGGTTGGGTTGGGGGCGGCCAAGTTGTGCGTGCTTGCTTGTCTGTTCACGTAGCACCGCTCTCTGCCCTGCTCTCTGCAACGGCGCGCTCCGACTGCCCGTTCTACTGACTGGAATGCGCCGGGCTGCTTTTGCTTTGCTGTGCTGTTGCTTTGGCTGCAGCTCTGCGTCTCGGCTTCTGATCCTCTGCTGCTACGGCCGCTTTACGTCTGGTACTCGGTTGGTTGTCGTCCTTGGTGTTCAAAGAGGAGCTGTACCGGCCGCGTGTCTGTCTGCGTGGAGCGGCGAGCGAAGCGAGCGAGAAGCGATGCTATGCTGCAAGCCTAGAACCGTAAATCCAAAAATATCCTTTTCTTGTTCTTTCGGGGCCGGCAGGGATCAGGACGCGACAGCTAGGCGAATTGTCGTCGAAGCTATCGTAGCTCTCTCTGCTGTTGCTTTGCACTGCTCTCAATTGTGGGCGTGCGTTGCGTGCGTTTGCTTGCCACCTTGGCCCCGACGTCCTGCTGTCGGATGACGATGCTGCTGCTGCTGCTGCTGCTGCTGCTGCTGCTGGTTGTTTGTGTCCGGTTGGTCAACCTTTTAGTAGCGCTCGTTATGGCTGCTAAGAGAACAAACGGTTTGATGATGATGTGATGTC